AAAGGGGCTTCAGTGTTTGTCTACGCTTCAGTCTGGAAGGGGGGGCGATTGAGAGCTCCAGAGGGGCAGTGCTCTACAGTAATGGTCTGGGCTGGTTTACATGCCTCTGGGAATTGGTGATCTACAGTAGGCAGACTTCACTTGAAGAAAACAGCTTGAGCTGTACTGAGGGGCATTGCAGGTTCTGGACTAGCAGGCTGTGTGGTAGTTTTTTTTTTAATAGAGAATGGGGAAAGGCTAAGTTAAGGATTAGCAACGGATCGGTAATATTTTCGGTAAACAACACCTTCTGATATATTATTTGAATTTGCTAAGTGTCTTCTGTTCTATACATATTTACCTTGTGCTCAAACATTTAGGTTGCAGCCATCAAAACAGGACTTGCCAGTATCTAAAATCCAAAAGTCCCTTCCACCAGATAACAGCTCCTTGCTACGACTGCAGCAGTGCAGAGCTGCACAGTTGTCAGACGATGAGCAGCAATCTGGTTTCCATTACACAGTCTTTGAGTCAGACTCCCCTGGCATCCCTCCCCAGTGTCAGAGCACTGGCTGCGCTCACAACAGCTGGAGAGCCAAGATATTCGGAAAACATCAGGTGCAACACATGGCTGACAGCTCCCTGTAGGACGGACGTGGAGGAAGACGCATATGGAAATAAATTAAATCCGTTTAAAATTGCAATGTTTTTCCATTAAGGATAAATGATCCTCAGGATGCGCAGTAATAAGTTAAGAAAGAGCTAGAGAATTCTGAATTCTTCTTCTTTCTTGGGATCAGCACATCAAAAGGTAAACGGTTTTCGCCGAACGCCTGAGTAAAATTAACAGCTTGCCATGAACTTGTTAGCGTCTAACCAAAAGGGCCCCAATGCGAAAACAAAGTCCTCTTTGTCACAATACACCCACTTAGGACAATCATTTTAAATAAACAAAAAAGTGTTTGGGGAACAATTTACATTGCAAATTTTAATTTAAAAGGAAGAGGTTGTCTGTGCTACGTGTCATTTAACTGGAGAGTGGTGCATTTATAATGGACTGCAAATTTATATCTAAAAACAAAGTTTATGATGATAAATGTCCAGTTTCCATTTTGTCTCCCTGTTTTTTTCCTTGCTGCTACTAAAGAAGACAAACCGCTGCACCATTCAAGATTGCGACTGCAGCTTCCATCCCAAAACCATTTGTCCCTCCTGCAAGAGGATTTTGTATTGTCACAGGCGTTCTCTAATTAACTAATTTGAGGAGGTTCCTTGGTATACCAATACACTAAAAGCAACCAATGTGAAGACCATAGACGCAGACCTGTGATGTTGAGACTTGAAAGTGTTTCTCTGCAAAGCGAATTGCAGCAAGTTGGAAATCAAAGTGGTCTGTCTAGTAGCTCAGGCATCACTAGACTATTAATTGTAGATACCGTGCTATTAAACAGTAAAGTTCTTTTCTATTAGCACAGGAGCACAATTACTGTGAAATTAAGCATCTTAATGCAGATTCTATGCGTCATTGGTTTGTGAAGCTCTCATTTAATTATGTTTACCAAATGAGGTCAATCTGGTGCACCAGGGAGTGTTTGTCTTTTGCAGAGAGGGTGCAGAGAGAATGCAGGAAACGCGAAGATTACCTCAACAGAAATGAAGTTTTGTTCTGTTTTTTTTTTTCCTTTGTTTATTCTTGAATGGAAAGTACCCTGCTGCTAATGAACGTTGGTGTTATTTGAAATGTGTAAGCTGTTTCTTTCATGATTGGATGCATCCCTTTTTCTAGAGGAAGATTTATAGAGTCTATCCAGTGCCTCTTCTTTCATCATCATTAAGGTGCATCACATTTAATGAAACCATTCTGCGGTTCCAATTTGCATGCAAATCATCTGAATTCCTTTGCCTGTGGTATCTTTTTGACTGAGAGATAAACTGAGCCTTTCGGGCTCTTGCAGTAACATTAAGAAATGCTTTTGACATCACAGTGCTATTTTTAGGTGAAACACAAGGATATTTTAGTTACGGGACACACTGTTTAAACCTAGTCATTTGCATTACAATGGGCTGCTGAAAAGAACAATGATTTAAATGAACCCATTGGATTAGGAATGAAAAGCTCTTTCGGAATGTCATGGTATGAGGGCTTAATTTCTAAATATAAAAGTCGAAATTTTCGAGATAATGCACTATAGGGAGGGAGACTTCAGAATGAGAAATCTATAAACCAACAAGCTGTTTATTACTGTTAAGTATTAAATATTATATTATTATACAAGTCCTGGATGTGCTCAGCCTGCTTTATAAAATAGTCAAATATACAATATCACTATTGGTATATCTGTAAGGTTTATGAAATGTGCTATTATATAGAAAATGGTGAGGTTACATACTGTAGAACATCTTGTGCTCATACTGTATATAATTGAAATGACCTGATAACATTGTTAGTTGCCATCCAAATAACATAATAAAAACCTACTTCGAACCAACATTCAACATCATCCATCTAGATCTGATGGCGCGCTTTAAGCTTTCAAATGCAGTTGCTGTTCTGTAAAGTCATTTTGAACATTCCCAAATTAAACAGTATCGGGAAAGAAAATGAAAGAGACACGAAGAGAGAGATGTTGGTGATTACAGGGGCAGTAAGATGTATTTACACAATGTTTAGTTTTTTGTTTTCTGCAGGAAATGTATTGAGCTCTTAGTGAGGTGATTTGTACCCTCCCTGTTGTGTGTACTTGATTATTAATAAGTCACTTTTCCTTTCAGCTAGTCATCAGTATGTGAATAAGTAAAGGTCCACCATTCCAAGTTGCAAGTTTATGAGAGACTTGTAATATTCCCCAAATACTTGGTGTCTCTGTAGTTTGTGCTATGCAAGAGCTTGTGTACTGTAACTCTTGTAATGACAGGCAGCTCAGAAATAGGGTCTGAACTGCAGGTTCCTGTTAATTTATAGAAGAGTGCATTTTTGGGCCTTTTTAGAATCAATAACACTGGGATTAAATGTTAAGGTTTGGATAAGCCAGCAAGCCAAGAGTATAATTTAGCAGGGACACTGAGGTTCACAACCATACATTTATTAATAGCACAGTGGGATCTTCAATAACCAAGTAGGCAGGACCTCAATTTAATGCCTCATTCAAAGAATTGCATCTCCTGCTGCATAGTGTCCCAGGTCATCACTCGTGGGCATTGGTTTGTAAATTCTGGTACATTATTGCCGAATGTCCGTTAAATCAAGAATCATGGTTTTCATCCTAAAAACACGCTATTACAGAATATGAGATATATTCATATACTATATACTGTATATATGCATGTGCTTCATTTGCTAACAGGAATGTCATTTGAACAGTTTGGTCGAATTCTAATGCATTCTGGATGTGGATCTTTTGACTGATTTAGCAATTACAATCAACTACTTAATGAATATTATTCCTGTGCCTTTTTTATCATAAATATACAAGCTCTTTATTCCATGTGTCATAAATATACTATATATTATATATATATAAATTCACCTGAGGACACAAACCTCAAGCAGCACCCATCATAAGCAAGTGTCCTATTGGGCACCAATGATGTCCATGAATTTTAAACCTGTGAAATATTTATTTCTACCTTGTTGGGTTTTTTTTAATTCATGCACGTCTCTGTTATCTGTCATTTTACAGATAAAAATTCTCCTTTAGCAGATTTTGTCCGTTAAATCAGAAGTCGCTTAAATTAAGGGGTTACTCTAATGATGACAATGCAGGAATTAGACAGCAATTGCTAGACAACAAAGTGCCTTACAATTAAGACACTGAAATTGAGAAAAGCGGTAATGACTTCTGTATTAGGATTTGATTTCAAGGCATTTAAAGTTGATTGGAAGGATACCACCCAGTGCTCCAAGACTTATAAACACACTGTGATGTGGTCAACTGCAGACCACTCATTTTCTAGTTCAGCACACTATGACATAGCTGTCACTAATTAACATGTGACTGTATTAGTGACCAGCCAGTCGAAGTCGCAGTGTTGTCAGCTTCGTTTGCTAACGGGATTGTTATTGCAACAGTTCGGTCCCCAGCTAAGGCAGAGAACAGATGAGGGAGAATGACAATCCTTTAGTGGAGGATGAGCAAGGAAGCTTCCACAAAGGCAAAGTTTTGGTGGATGGAAAACAGCAAAATTGAAACATATAAGCAAGACAAGGACAGGGGTGAAACAGAATAAGTTTCCATCCCACCATAGGAATGCCGACAAGGGCCCTAGCATTTATTTTCTGTTGCATAGGTTAGTGCTTCTATGATTTTGGGCATGGTATTTTTAAAAATGTACTGACTTTATCCCGTAAATCAGAAGATGTTGGACCTGTCAGATTAAAAGCCATTGTGAGAGGAAGTGTTACAGAGGCTCCTGATACTTATTAGCAGTTCTTGCATGTCCTGCCTTTCACTACAGAGAAGATAATTCCACATCCATAGTTAAATCAGTGATAATAGTTAACAATCCGTTTCATGAAAACGATATATATCCACATTCTATGAGGTTTCCAATGTCAGAAAGGAGTTCTGCCTGGCATGACAAAAATGCTCCATCTTCTTTGTAGAATGCAATATGTTATTCAAGCATAAAAATGTGTATGTAGTGTATGCTTAAGTTCATAAAGGTAATCATATCAATGAACCATGTTTTGATTCATTTGACTTCATTTATCTGATACAGGAACTTTTCAGAGTTTTTCTTTATTAAATCCTAATTTAAAGGACATACTTGGGAATGTGGAATAACATTTTTGCACTGTTGAGAGCATTTATAAATGCATTCAGCTAAGACTTCAGCATCTACTATATTACAGTATGTAATAGGTAGACAAAAGGACGGGATACAGCAGTTGACAGCAGACTTGCTTACTTCCTGCAGTGGTAACAGCATTATTATCTTGTGTTCAATGCTGGGTGACTTCCTCAATTTCAGTCCTGTCCTACTTCAGCAAGCAGCGTGATGGAAGTGTCTTGGTGTTGCAGATGGGCAAATGGGAGAACAAGAGTCTGACCCTGAAGTATCCCGTTTGGCCCCGGTTTAATTCCTTTGGAGACTCGGAGTCTGATGACAACCACCTGAGCATCGTCACCCTGGAGGAGGCGCCATTCGTCATTGTGGAGAATGTCGAGCGCCTGACAGGAACCTGCATGAGAAACTCAGTGCCCTGCCGGAAACACATCAAAGAGTAAGTCTTCTGCTTTGTCTTCTTAAGGCACGCAATATTATTTTTTTCTTCTAATCAGCAGAATATCTCTGATTGCTCATGCTACTAACTCTGATCTTTCACTCATCTTTCTTTCCTGAAACAACCACCCCCATGCGTGTCTCCAGACTCCCTCATTTCTGAGATGTTTCGGATACATTTCAGATGTTTCAATACGTTATTGTATTGGGGTTCTCTGGGCTGTCTGCATGCTGAGATCATCAGTTAACCATTGAGGGATTCCTTGATGTCCCAACAGTTTGTATATTTGGTGATGCTTTTTAAGCCATTGGGTCTTCAGGTTCAGAAATTTGCTGCCTGCTTCCTGTTTTCAAGCTAAGATGATCTTATACTGTACATCATGATGCTTATGCAATCACATTGCATTAGACTTCACGCCAACATCCTCCCCCAGCACAGCTCCGGCTGAGCTGATGAACACGATGACTTGAAAGCAGTGAGAGCCGTTTGCGCACTCACCCAGATCCCCACACATGCCCACGTATGCGCAGCCCAGTGCACTTTCTGTTCCATTTTTTAAATAGCACGATTCCTATTCAACCATCCATTGTGCCTGTTTGCAGAGTGAGTGCTGCAGCAGGTTTAATGATGCAGAAGCACTGGCAGCCAACACAAGTGCTCGTGGAATGAAGCATTTCCCATTGTAGAACCCGCATGACTCCTGCAGACATTTTAACATGCCGATAAGCACTCTCTTCTAACTTCTTCTTAAAGGTTTGTTTGATCCAAGTCAGAAAAGGGGAGCGAAGAGCCAGCCGAGTAAAAAAATTCAAGATCTCTTGCTGATGTGGTCTCTGCGACAGTGTATTGAAGTTGGCGGTGGGCTCGGTAGCAAAATAGTTCTAATGCACAGATTAAGAGGAAAGTTTCTTGATAAAGATGTTCTTATTAAGATAACGTACAGTACATGGCTCCGACATGAGCCTCAGGGCTCAGTAAAGTTCCTTACAAGTGGATGGAAGGCCTAGTAGCCATGGAAACAGTCACAGTAATAAAAAGAAATCTCAGTAGAGGGAGGCCAATTGTGGATTGAAGTGAAACTCTTGTAATTAACAAGACAAACGTTCCGTTATTACCAGGACTGCAAGTATCCGTGTGGGTTTACAGTCCTGTTATTTTATGGCAGGCCTCAAGAAGTGTCACAGGGATGTTCCAGCACAAAGTACCAAATGATATCAAACTGTGTTTCCTATTAGGAAACAATTGCAGCATAATATGTTGTAAATCTGCCATTCACATATGTAACATACTTGCATCACAGCCACATTCTAGTGTCTTAGCAAAGTCGGCCAAGCACAACCTCCTTAAAGCTCATAAACAGCTTGCCTGCCCAACAGACTGGTAGAGAATTTGTACATGTTCACCCACACGGACTGTATCTAAAAGCTCACCTCTAAGGTGGGACTTAGGTACAGTAATTAACATAAATACCGTATATTCCTAAATGTATGTCTTTGAGAGGACAAAGCTTGTTTATTCCTGAAGCATGAAATGGAAATATATCTTGCCTCCCTGCAGGGAAGAGTCACTTATCAGAGTAGCCAACGGCAGTCCTGAGCAGCCAGGAAAGACGATTCTTCAGGATGAGTCAGTAGAATTGCTTCGTGCCAGTTCTGGCAAAGGAGGGAGATGTGGAGGAATTTCTTAGTTTGGAGCAATTGTAGAATGGGAAAGGCCTGCCCACACTCCCGTCCACAGCTTCAAGGAGAGTGTGCAGCATTGTTTTGACAGGAGAAGAGCGAGCCAGTCAGAACATTCTCTGAGGTGGTAGGAAGAGAAAGCACCACAGGGAGCCTGGAGGAATATCCCAAGAGAGTATTTGGAAAAAAATAAAATAAAAAAAAAGGTTTTATTCAGTAGCTTGTTGATACCAAACAACAGCTCTCGCTAATTATACCTTATTTTGCTCTTTATTGATATTCTGCCACTAACGTCAACCAGCTGGTGGTTATAATTTGTGTTTTGAATTTAACTTTTCAAAAGAGACGTTGCTTCGGCTAAACCAATAATACAAAAACTGTAAATTGTCAGTGCATTCATGGCGGCAACAACCATAGTAGATACACTAACCCATGAAGATTTCTTGTAAGGGCAATAGCAAACTTATTTAGCCCTTTTACACTCTATTCTGTTCCAGAACTGAAGTCAAAATATTTACTGTAGTGTGTAGGATCATAATAATAGAAAAATGATTTTAAAAAAATGTCGCTTATCTTCAATGTTAACTGAACTTTTTGGAATAGTTAGCTAAGTAAATGCCTTATTCCAATGAATTGCAATTTCTACCAGTAATCAAGTGAAACTTCCATTCAGGAATTTGAGCTCTAGAGTGCCATTTGAAATTTTGATTTACAAAAGTATTAACAAACAGAGGAGGGACATGGTGTCATTTTGTTCCATTTACTATTACCACAGGTGGAATTGTAAGTCTGTGGTTGTATTAATGATGCCGTCTTGCTTCAATTAGTAATGCTTAGCTTGGTCGGGCACTCCAATATGATCAATATATTAAAAAAATGTATGACCTGCTTGGTAGCAGATGGAACTTTCAAAAAATGCATGACAAAACATGTGTTTTAAAATAAATGTGTACTACCTAAGGAAATAAAAGAGTCTTTTAGTTTGAGATTTCTCTATATGGCACATGCAGAGCAAAGCAAAAAGCAAAAAGCTCTGTTCAGCTGCCAATTTCAGCATTATTTATCCTCAAATAAATGTATATTTATTGCACTGCTTACACCTTAAAGTATGTGAAGACAAGTTAAAGGGGTCAGAACAGACCCCCAGGTGAAGACTAAGACTTAAAATAAATCGGGCAGAGTGATCAGTGAATCATGGCCTTCTTTTCGGCTTTTACTACCTGTTCTGTTATTCTCTTTGTGTACAGTAAGCATGTAGTAATTTCAACAAACAAGATACTGTGTACTTTGTGAATAAAAAGCTGTTCAGAGATGCACTGATATTATCACAATATGTGAATTTTTGCCTAAGGTTTGTTTTTGAATCACACATCAATACAGGGGGCCTAAACTGGACTGAAGCTTTTCAGAAATCATGCTGATTTGATTTTGTAAAACTAACGCAGACCTGACATGCAGTCTGCCTTAAGCCAGCTTGGAAGGAACAACACAGAATATCAAGAGAGTTATGCTAATGCCTCAGAAATACTGTTGTGGGAACAGATTGATTTTAAAGGGAATTGTGCTGAGTTAGTTAAACCTGCTGTTCTGCTATGGCGAAAGAGAAGAGAGATGATTATTTCTCACTGTTGCCATTACTGGCGCCGACTACGTCTTAACAGAACCCAGACAGGTACATCTTATCACTGTTTGAACACACCTTTCCACACCCTCCTGTGGTCACGTTCTCCATGTTTTCCCCAGTGCAGATTTGCTAGGATCTCAATGTAGAAAGATCTTTTCCATTCCACATAACTGGACCACCCACAGCCATCAAAATCACTAGATTGTTAGATTTGTACGACTGTTTAAGAAAAGAATGAGCTTGGTATTCCAGAAAGGCTGCTCCTCATTTTTACCACTATAAAACACAATTTGTCTCATTTTCTATCCTTTAACAATACACTTATAATAGGATTTACTTTTGGTCCTATGAAGTAAGGAGCCCATTCACAAAGAGCTGCCTCTTAGTGACAGCTGTTCATCTGTAGCTCTGACCTGTAAACTATGACAGCACTAGAGAAGAATTTGCACCTGTGCTTTGCTCCACTGCAGGTACAGTAAACTCAAACGTCAGGAATGCAGATTAAAAATATTTTTACTAGTCAAGGCTTATACCTGTACTACCAAAGTTTTTACTTTTTTATCCTTAACTGAGTTATGTATTGTATGATATGAGTTAATAGTTGCCGAATAGGCGTAATGACTATGGCTTCTTATAAAGCTTTTTTAGAAAAAAGGGATGGCACTGAGGTAGAAATTTGGCTAGAAAGGAAATCACAATTTAAGAAGAAAAAATGATGCTGCACTTTTCATTTACTGCCCACGGATTCATTGTATTTGAGATAGGACAAATTGGATTAAAGGATTAATAAGGCTGTCTGAAAACACAGCACAGTAAAATGATGCCTAGCCACTTCGGTGAAATAAAAGTGATGTATTCTCATTTAGTTCATATGCTGCTGTGATACTGTGCGGTGGAGCACAGGCTGCTCTGTGTGAAGGCAGCAGCTCGGAAGGATGCCACAAACCCTTCTGTGATTAATAAAATAAGAATTTATATTGCTCTGTAAATGGAAAAGTATTAGTCTTCACTAGGGGAGAAATAAGAGGACTGGCAATTAAGGAGCAAAGATTGGCTACGGTCCTTCTGAGGCTATATGATGCCCATTCTGTCTTTGATATGAAGAACTGAGCTGTTTTCCCTGCCAGACACAAACATTACTGCAGCGGAATGCTTTATTTGGAATAGGACTGACATCATCTGAAGCAGAAAACCCACTTGCTCCCAAAACATCTTCACCTCTAATCACACCCTTTCCTCAGACATACCTGAGTAATTAAAAAACAGGATTTGTGTGTGTGAAAAACCTCTGAGACCTCCTATTTAAAGGATCCTAAAATATTTAAAATCTAAGCAATGAAGTAGCTTAAATAGGAATTTTAAAGATTTCTGTGAAATCTTCTCACACTTTTATCTTGGCTAAGAAAAATATTCAAGGTTCACATCTACTGCACCTGTACTGTTCTCAATTATAAGACAATCTGTTTACAGCAATTAAATCTTTTTTTTCCTTTTGCATCCGATCCAAACATGTGAAAAATGTCCAATTTAAATGTAAAGAATAATACAAAAATGCACAAATGAAATTCCTAAATCCATTAAATGAATCATTTCTGATCACTGCGCCTGATGTCAAGCATTGATGCCTCGTATAATGGCAAATCACCATTACAAATGACTAGAATGCATGATTCTTCATCATCAGATTTAGCTTACTTATCTCAGGGTCGTTTAGAAAAGTACTGCCATCTGAAAGGCAGTTTAGGCTAATAGTGCTAAGGTTTTACAAAGGCTCATTTTTACAGAAGCAAAAATCAAATAATGGATCTCAACCACCATTTTCAGTTTGTAAGCATTTATGAATCTTAGCTTTACTCTCTTGTTGTGTACTGCAGATGCGGTTCTGACACCTACTGTATTTACCTATTTATAGATTCTCTCTATACAGATATAGTAGACAAGCGATTTTTGGATTAATTGTCTCATTTCCCAAAATAAAGAAATTATTAAATACAACACATCACCTCATTAAGTTGAGTCAACTACTATACGTACTGTAAATGATCTAATGACATTAATATAGCAATGTTTTACAATGTCATTATTGAAGCAGTGCTTATTATCTATGGTTTAAGAGTGTGTGATTGCTTAAGTGATAATGTGCACATCATCTAATTGACAGTAACACCACAGTGGAGGGCACCTATATAAAAAAGTGCTGCAAGGGATTCTGCATCGACATCTTGAAAAAGATTGCCCGGAATGTGAAGTTCACCTATGACCTTTATCTGGTGACCAATGGGAAGCATGGCAAAAAGATCAACAATGTGTGGAATGGCATGGTTGGAGAGGTAAGTGTGATCTCTACTGGACTGATCCTTAAGCTCCAGTCTTGGGTTACCCAGGAGAAAAAATCACAAGCAGTTGAGGTGTGTACTAGAACAGGCTGCGCAAGTGGATCTCACAGAGTATGAGGAGACGGTTAGGACGATTCCAATGCCTCTAGCTCCCAAATATCACTCAGGTCATACCATGGCAAGCAGCCCTATGCTGAAGTTGGTCTCATGCTCTGAGAAATCGGAGGTGCCTGAGACAGATCTGAATCTGGCACTATCCTTTTAAAACCACAGGTATTGCTCATATCATACCTGAGAGTTTTAGAAATGCTGGCTAACATAAAATAAAATTCAATCTCACAGTTTACATTGCCTCTGATACTAATAAGATACTGATACTGATATGATAGTGGCCCTAAAATTCAGAATTTATTAGTCTTATTGCATTTAGAGTGGCGGTGCTTTGAGTTCATTATGGTGCTATTTACTGCAGCTTGTACTAAATCTCAGAAAAGGGTACGTCGCTCTAGGTTGTTAGGATTAATACTGTACATACAGTGTTCTTGTGCTGCCTAATGTTTTAATACACGTTCTTTTTCTGCTTCTGTCTGTCTGCTACCTGGGTATAAATTCAATGGTGTTTTCCACAGGTGGTGTACAAGAAAGCAGTTATGGCGGTGGGCTCACTAACGATCAATGAGGAGCGTTCGGAAGTGATTGATTTCTCAGTTCCTTTTGTGGAAACAGGAATCAGTGTAATGGTTTCGAGAAGCAATGGCACAGTTTCTCCATCTGCCTTTCTGGGTGAGAAAGAACCGAGCCCTTTAACTGCTGTCGAATGTACATAAATATGGTCAAGCAAACATTTCATCCAGCACATACTGTTAGTCACCATTGCAACTTCTTGGAATTAACGTTTTTAAAATCCTCAAGCTTTTCCAAGAGGACGTTACAGATCCAGTGAACAGCTTCCCATTCCAACATAAAAATATGCACATTCAGTGTCAAGATTAAGATAAGATGTAAAATAATACAGCTTTATTAGCATTTAACCCTCCCCCTGATGCTCTCCAACAAGGTGTTCATGGGCTCTTGATTGCATTATGGTAGCTCATATTTTAATCGCCATAAGGCCTCTCAATGCACAGATTAGCTGGGAAAACCCTTGGATGGAACCCAGACAGATTCCTGTTACCCTCCCACATGAATCCATTTTAATCTCTTAAGGTTTTTCGCCGGTACTGGTAGTAAGGAAATCTGACTTCCTTTACTGGCATTTTCTCTCCTTTCTCCAGAGCCTTTCAGTGCCTCTGTGTGGGTGATGATGTTTGTTATGCTGCTCATCGTAACAGCTATGGCTGTCTTCATATTCGAGTATGTCAGCCCTTTGGGCTTCAACAGGAATCTTGCACAAGGCAGAGGTAAGCCTGGATAAAGACTGCGTTTCAGCAACACCTGTTACAGCTCTGCCTCAGCTCTGCTTCCAAAAACAAAAAGTTGTTGGAAGAAACGTTTGGGAGAAATATTCTTAGGGCTTGTTGCGGTAGAATATAGGAAAACATTGATTTAATAGATAAGAGTGAGAGACTGCAGAACAAAAACAAGACAGAGTATATTAGGTCTATCGGTCTAAGTATATTAGGCCCATAAATGGAGATTTTTTAATGACAGACAGCTTTGCGTCTCATCATTTTCAACACTTATCGAAGAACATATCCCATTATGGAAATTATGGAGGCGATGATGATGAATCCACATACTTTGTGTTGCTTGCTAATTCGCATTAGATGGTAAACCTTATTGTGTTATGTGATTTTGCCCTTGGACCTTAGCCATAGTGCTAATGCTATGGGTTTGATAGCCCATTAAATTGTGCCCAGACAGCAAGTGCAGAGAAAATGACTTTCTGGCTTTGCTGGATCATTGGCAGGCAGCAGATGTAAAAGTCTGGTCATCCACCTTCTTTCCAAATTTTGTGCAGGCCACAAAGGGACTTTGAGAATTATTTTGGTAGATTGTGAGGTTTTCATGCTGTGTAAATGTTTTGATAATGGCATTTACTGACAAAGTGTAGCACGTCACATAAACACTTGAAATGCAAATTTTAGTTGTTTGGTTTCCTACTATTAATCTTGAAGACTACATTGAAAAGTTGTACTGTACATTTCTTTGGGGAAACGAGCCTCACTTTAGTTTGCTGCTAGCTTTTTATGATGTATTTTCTCAGTGGGGAAAAAGGAGGTTGTAAACAGCATAGTGACTACAAGATAAAATAGATATGAAGGCATTTGCGGATTTTGATTTCTCAGGCTCACTTTTCTGTTCTGAAAAAATCTCCACCAGTTTAGCCTTATATAACCCTTTTATCCCATTTGATCAGTGCATAGCAGCCATTTAGATGAATCCCTCTACCAACAGCACTCACATGAGCATGGAGCCATCACTCACAGATATAATCTTCTGTACTCAGAATCTGGAGCAATGATATGGCCTTCTCATATCTTCACAAGCGCTATTAAGACTTTTCAGTTACTGTGTTAGATATCAAATGCAATTCTTCAGTTGGATTAAACTATTATGGGTTTTTTTCTTTTGTAAAGAAATGTTCATGGCACTTTCCTTTAAACCAATCCAAAGCTCAAATCATCGGTAGAGGGCCATCCCAGGACACACACTGGTTTTGAAAATTGACATTCATATTCTTCCCATAGGCAACTTCAAGTAAACAGGCACACATACTGTACTGTTAAGAGGTTCACTCGCAGTGGGTGAATTTGCTTTTGAAGTGATGCACTAAAATGGATCTTCTTTTGAAGTACCTTCAGGGATTGCAAATTATCACATAGTAGTGCATAGTGGGGTCTACAGCACTCTACTGCATATTTAATTCTTCTTTATGAGCAAGGATTTTTTTTCCCAAATAAATACATTTTGGTTTTGCTATAATACAAAACAATGAAAAACAGTTCAACAGTAAATGATGTTTGGATGATAAAATATTTATTGTCTGTTGAACTTTTAGCAGGTATAACAGTGGCATGTTCTATTATTTTATCATATAAGGTTGAGACGTAATGAACACGTACGTTGTAAAACAAATTAGAATACTTCTTTGTTTAAACAATGCAACTCAAGGATCTTGAATAATTCCCATGACTAATTAATACCAGGATCCTTTCCAAAAGTCATTCTTTTTTTTCCCAAGAGGTTGTTCTTAATTACTTCATGTTGAAAGAGATAAATCATTTGAGTGATTTGACTAATGCATAGTTGCACTGGAATTACAGACACATTATAAGTACCAGTTGACATCCGTACTGTTTGCTATGACTAAAAATGTCAATGGTAGTTTGTTCTGATGTTTGCTTTAGACCCCCATGGACCATCATTCACCATTGGGAAAGCTGTGTGGCTTCTCTGGGGTCTGGTCTTCAACAACTCTGTACCAGTGCAGAACCCCAAAGGAACGACGAGTAAAATCATGGTGTCTGTTTGGGCCTTCTTTGCTGTAATCTTCCTGGCCAGCTACACTGCCAATCTAGCTGCCTTCATGATACAGGAGGAGTTTGTTGACCAGGTGACTGGACTGAGTGACAAAAAGGTTAGTCTTTAACCAGCCTTTTCACCTGATATATATGCCTGAACTTTTATGACCTTGGTTTTAAGATTAGTTGTGTGAAGAGCACATTTTTCAAAGCCTTATAAGAACATTTTGCATATTGTGTTGCAATGTTTGTCTTATTAATTGCATAAATAAATGTATACTTTTCAGAAATGATTTAAATTGTAAATCAGTTGTTTATTGGAGTGATCCATAATGGAAATCTAATTTCAATTTGACAAAGAATAAGGAAGTCAAGGTTGGATATAATATGCAAGGTAGTACTGTACATATTATTTGTTTGAGTTCTGATAGAAACACCCTGAAAAAGGATAGATTACTCTAGGTTTTTAGGATTAGTATGTTACTGTATATAAAGTGTTTTTGTGTTGCCTAATGTTTTAATGCACATTATGTTTTTGCAAAACCCAAATCAAAGAAACACAAACTAAATTAAATTAACTCTTAGTGTATCCTGTTTGATGAATGATGAAAGGGAGCTATTAAGCTCTGATTTCAAGTGTTTAAATTTTTATTTTCATTTTATAAGAAAATGAGTTACAAGTTATGATTGTTTTAGAAACACAAGGATTAAAAAATTATTCACCTCATTAAACAGAAGCCAGTGAAATCATTAGACGTCCATTTAGGATATTGCTTACGATGGAGAAATGGCTGGCCGTTGCAGGACTTACAAAACTTGCTGCGCCATCGCAATTTACTGTTTCTGTGAGTGGTTTTGAAGTTTCTGCTGTGAAGCTCCAATTACTCAATTCTTTAAATACGGTCATTTTCCTAATCCTAGTTTTCAGGAAGCGAATTGGGGTTGCAAAGACTTTGAAGGCATCACTTCTCCTAGTTTCAGTTAACATTTATGAAAATAGGCATTGAAATTGCATAAGTTATAGATAAAACTAAATACTTATTAGCCTAATATTAAAAATGAGTAGGCAGGATTAACACAAAACATTTCATTTAAACAGTTCCCAAGGCTGTATACTGCAATATGAAAATACAAGAGAGTCTTAAACAGTATGAAAAGTAGTTGTAAAAAGTTATCAAATGATAGGACCCATAATAAAAATAGTTCAAGGAAACGTACACTTTTGCACTGCGGCCTGACACTCACTCGTTGAGTACAGCATTTATTTTTGGAGATAAACGGGACCAAGGGTCTGGTGCAACATTCTGCAGTACAGAATACACAATGAGCAGTGAGATGGTAGGTTATTTAACTAAAGGTTTACAGATATCTCAGATGATGCATTTGCTAAAAAAAGACTTGGGGCTTATACTTTAACTCTAGCTGACACAAGATGTTGTGAAAGCTTCTTAGTTAATCAAGCAAACAAATACAAGAAACGGACACAAATGAAAGTGTCATTGCTTTGTAGCAGTCCATTAGATAACTGAAAATGCTGCTGTTTTTCTAAAGTGATATCTTTGATTTGCAGAATATTGTATTGGTATAAGTCTTTTCTGCACTGCTGACCTAGATAACACATTTCACTGAACTTGAAAAAGAATCAGATTGAGAAACTACGACTCTGCATGTGTATTTTATAAGGAAAATCTGTTGGTGCATCAGTATAGCCAGACGCGCAGAAGAGTATGCTACAAGGCTTGTCACAGTCGGTAAAGACTGCGTTCAGCATTCAAGGTTTTATTTGGCTTCTTGAAAGCAGTGTCTAAAGAAGGGGACTGCTAACGGCAAGTAAAAAAAAATAATTGTGTTGAGATGCAAGCATGATTGTAGTGTACAGAGATATTGCAACAAAAGAAAAAACAAAGTGAGCGAAGGCATGGATTACAAGAAGACTAGTCTGGAATGAGACAGTTTCAAGTTATAGAATGTTTTCCCAAGTTTATATGTTATATTAAGTACAGTATACCTCATATTTTGTTTTACAGAGTGCCTATTATTTCCTTTTTAATTTCCTTCCAGAGATGTCCTGTTGCATTGTAATTTTACTTCCCCAAATTTGCCTTGATATCTTATGACATTCTTGTCATCGTTTCTGTACTGTACATACAGTCGTTTTTCATTGTACTGTTAACCTACCACAGCCCTAATTCCAAACTGCTTAATGCAATTTTTCTATTTTTCTTAAAATAGTTTCAGAGTCCTTACAGCTACTCTCCTCCCTTTCGGTTTGGGACTGTTCCCAATGGGAGCACGGAAAGGAACATCAGGAACAACTACCCTGATATGCACCAGTACATGGTCAAATACAACCAGAAAGGAGTTCAGGATGCACTGGTCAGCCTCAAGAGTGGGTACGTACTCTTTCATCATGGTGTTACAGCTGTGGGTTGTCACGTTACTCATGCAAAGGAATCCACAAGGATATCTCCCTAATCCTCCTTTATTTCTCTAGGAGAATTTTGTTTTACAAAACTCTCGTGAGCAAAGTTTCAAAAATTGTTCACTGGGACAAAAGTCTGTTTTGTTCAGTTTCCTCCATTTTGTGTTGGAGCTGTTAACAAGAGTAGCAGAAAGCAACCAAAGGCCACCCTTTGAAAACATTTGGGGGGTGGGGATTTGGTTGCATGAATGATATGAAGAAGGCAAAATCTAGCTCCTGAGACGTGGAGTCAAGAGGAATGAAGTATTAGAACATGTCGTACAGTAATTAAATCAGAGCAAGCAGGGATGAAGAATGTGGGAGCTCTCTCTATGGCTCGTGATGGCTGTGAGTGAAAAGCAGAGGTCTGCTTTGTGTGGCACAGCGAGTTCATTAGAGCATTTCGGGAATAGAAATTGGAAAAAAGGGAACATGCCTCTGTAGTTGCATTTTAATTGGACTGGACATAGAAGAGTTTAAGGGTAGGTTTAAGAAGATGCAAGGAAAATAAAATGAAAGAGAATCTAAAAGATTCAGGAAGGAATTCAGTATGAGGCATTATAGGCTGAGGCAGGCACTGCACCAGTTGAAATAAGGAAATAGGGATAAAACAATAAAAAACTAGGGAAATTAAAAGACCTTTATATACTGTATAAACATCTTTCTAAAGCTTTTAGATGATATATTACACCTACAGTAACTCTCATTTAGGAGAAATCTTTTAGTTAGCCCATGACATCTCACATGGCTATACAAGAATTTTTTTTAACTTTACATTTCCTTTTCCCAAGTATATTTATTTTTAAAGCCTGGCCTAGAAACACTGATGGATTTAGGTTTATACACAGCGGGCTTGATTTAGCGGTGCTTTCGTAAACCATCAACCTAAGCATCTAAATATTAATAAAAGTGTATTGAAAAATAAAGATCCACTGTACCTGAAAACACATTTGCTGGCGCTCTTGAAACGGAGGTCAATTATACTAAACCTAATCTCTGAAATTTGGATCAATCATGTATTATTTTGATAAAATGGTCCCCTCTTAAGCAAAATTCGGAATAAACTAGGTCAGTTTTTAAAAGTTTGAAGATCAGCACAAAATTGCAGCTGGGCTTATTTTGATATCTGCTAGCCTTTGAACTACTTACATTTAAAATAACTGTCTCACTTACTTATAAATATAAAAAGAGGACTCGACTGAAAATCAAGGCCATTTCAAAGTCTGTTACAATTTGCAGAATGAATGCTGTGGGTTTTACTTTGCTACATTGCCCATGCCCAAGTTCCTTGTACAGGGACAATCCAATTCTGCTCATCCAATAAAACAATACGAAGGCAGTAGCCTTCTGTTATCTGAATTTGTTTGATAATTTTAGAAAATTGTCCTGGTAAAAACTCAAAACCTCCTGTGAATCTTTCTCTGTACTGTATACTGCCTCTCTACATTCTCTCTACTCTACTGTAGTAATGAACTAGATTCAGGACAGTAATCCACTGAATGGGAGGACAGGATTTCTCACATGGGAATGCCACAGTCTGTGATAGTCTGTGAGATGACCTATAGGCATACATTGCCACTCTGTAGTCTCTCCAGAATCTTGATTGGGCAGTGTGCTCATGTGGAAGTACAAAGAGTGCTTGAGGGGCATCTTTCTGGGATCCAAGTTCCATCTCAATTAGCTTCAGCTGCTAAGGAACTGCCTGGTACAACAACCTTAAATAATGGAAACATCTTTCCAAATGGTGATCAGACAGTCCTGGAGGAGTTATGAAACGTGAGGCTAGCCTAAATGAAAGTGGAAGGCTCATGACTAAAAAGCAGTTCATGTGAATACATTAATTGTTTCATGAATGCTTTGTAAGTTACTGAAACTGACAATTAGCTAGCTTAAGACTGATCATGTCTGTTCATCTTATCTGTACAGCCATGACGATTAACATGAATACTTTATACAGGTGAATGATGAAATTGAATTATCTGTGGGTTATTAAACTTGAACAAAAAAGTCCCAGTTGTGCCCTCACAATTTTGCACAATTGTTGCATCCTTGCCTTTTGGAATGAAAGAAATGGCAAACAGGGCTTTACATGCAAGTCTGCTGCCCAGTACCCATCACATTGCAGGAAGACTGCCATTCTGCCCACAGAGCCTTTGTGATGAATGACAGAGATCGGATTTGATTAGCTCCTTTAATGACATTGTGACATGCGGATTTGTGCTTCTTTTCAATAGAAGACTCCTACAGTACATGCCAGTCCTGCAAACAGACTGTTAAGCAGAATGAGTGAAAAGGAAGATGCGCATGATTCTTACTCTCTAAGGGGAGATATTGGACTCTAAAACTATGTGTGGGCAGACTTTTGTGTGCTGGAGCAGACTCTTTTCAAACTTTTGCTGGCCTATTTCTTTAGCTGTGTGACATTCAAATGACAAAGAAACAAAAGGCCCACCTACCTCTAGCAGTTTCCTCTGGTTGCAGAAGGCATAACCTTGAAGATCACCTTTCTTTTTCTGGGTCTTCTCATGTACACATGAAACATCACTATAAATAAATAATGATTCCTCAAACAGGAATAACTGATTCTGAATCCACCTAAAGAATAATCTGTGTAAATATCAGGTGAATTTGAAATAAATTCACTACAGTATATACTGTACACTAATAGTTTAGCTGTGTCATTTTTCCTTCAGTCCAGAAGCTATGTGTCTTTTTGACCTGCTTGTCGTGAAAAGACAGGACATGGATGAAGCTTTTCACCTTCATATATAGTTTTAGTTTCGAAACATATATAGTAACATATAGTAACAAGCTATTGTAAGTGAAGCGGTTACCTTAAAAAATTAAAAATACAGTATACAGGCCTTATTTTACAGATGTAATTCTCCAGAATCCCTTCATTTTGAATGTCAATTTTGTGTGAAAGTACTGATTTGATTAGAGGGGATAATAACAGAACCCTGTACTCAATTCTTAAAAAATTAGCAAGAGGTGTTTTCCCACCTTGTGATGTGCCAGGGTAAGAGTGGGCAGCTTCCATATTGTCTCTTGAACCCTCTTACTATGCCAGCTTGGCGAGTTGGGCCTTCGAAATCTCTTTGCCCTTTTACAATTTGCCTAAGCCAAATAGCCCTTCAGGGTTAAAAACAGAGGGCAACACCTGCACAAGCTCAGTGTTCTGACCAGTGACGTTTCTGTTTCTCTCCTCGCAGGAAACTGGATGCTTTTATATATGATGCTGCAGTCCTGAACTACATGGCTGGGAGGGATGAGGGCTGCAAACTGGTGACTATTGGGAGTGGATATATTTTCGCTACTACTGGCTATGGGATAGCTCTACAGAAAGGCTCATCGTGGAAACGACAGGTGGACCTGGCAATCCTGGCCATCATTGGAGATGGTACGCCCTCTTTCACTTTGCTGGAGAGTGACCGTGCTGTCTCAATAACTCCTAATTGCCCGTAGAATATGATGTGAAGAGTCTGTCCCCAAGAGGGAGTTACTGACTCACAGTCTACAAAGCTGCAGCGAATACACCACCACCCACGTACAGCTACACTCAGGGGGTTACATCACAGAGTTAAAAGGGAATAAGCACATCTTTTTAATAAGATCTTTTTAATAAGTGCTATTCGTATCGTGATGCGTTTTTTTTCAAAAGACACGTTTTATCTCTGTCCTACTGTATCTGTGTCAGTCAAACCCACTGAAAACACAACCAAGCGGCACAGCTGTAGCGCCCGGCTGTCATTTGTTTCCTTATTCTTTTCCTTTTGCATTATTTCTTTAAAATCCTGAATAACATTGTAGAGAGAGAAAAAAAAAGGTTTAATGAAAGAACAGAGCCTTTTTCGATCGGGTCCCATTTTCTCACGTCTGACCTGAATGCCAGTGTATGCTACTCTGCGCGAGGGTTTTCATTAGCTTAGGATGTGCACGAGTGTTCCTCACCGGTTCTGCATAGTTGACAGGGTCTCCCATCTCAGAAGATTGAGTGAGCGGCACTGTGGCCCTCATGCTTATCTCTTGAGTAGAGATACAGAGCTTGAGGGGAGAGAAACGATGACCTTCACTGAGCTTTGTTTCACCTGCAGGGGAGATGGAGGAGCTGGAAGCACAGTGGCTGACAGGTATCTGCCACAACGAGAAGAATGAGGTGATGAGCAGTCAGCTGGACATTGATAACATGGCGGGGGTCTTCTACATGCTGGCTGCTGCCATGGCTCTGAGTTTGATCACCTTCATATGGGAGCATTTGTTTTACTGGAGGCTGCGATATTGCTTCACTGGAGTCTGCAGTGGGACACCCGGGCTGCTGTTCAGTATAAGCAGGGTAGGGTTTAGCCGTCGATCTGCTCTTATTAGACACTGTTACTCAACACAAGACTCTCGTATGAAGCTCTGCATAGAAGACTTACTAATGAGTAAAGGACGTTCTGAGTATCTTACACATTTTGTGTAAATGATACCTCGTAAGTTCACCACTGAATTTGAAAATTTTAGCTCTGAGCTTTTTTTGTTTTTCGATTTTTGGCAAGTTGGGCCTTTATGGCGTGTAAGAGGTATTATTAAGATAATCAAAAACAAAAATGGTAATATTAAAATGTTCATATAAGATGGTTTTAAAATAAGGAAGGATAAAGGAAAAATAACTCAAATATTTATTGAGGCAGTTTACCAAGTACAGATACATGTACTGTATATCAATGAATGGCCAGTGGTGTACCTCGGGATTTGTTCAGTAAAATGCTCGTCCGTTGTGCTAAGAATTGATAACAAAATGTAGGGTCTTCACAAACAGCTAAGTACAGTATTTACAGTAAAGTTCCAAATGGATTAGCTTTAGCTCAGGTGTTTGTTGGTACTATATGCTGTATGGTGTTGTACAATGTGGTTTGCTACAGTTCTTTTTTTTCCGTGAGAAGATTTGCAGAACAGTGCAGCATCTTTTTTTCTCCAGGTGCTTAGCACTTTCAATAAATTACATTAGTGATGAGGGTTACTGTCAGCAGTAGTGTGAAACTGCGTCTTTCTGAAGTTAGCTACCCCAGTGATTGAAGTCGAAAGCATTGTGATTCTGCTTTGCAGTTGTAAAACAGAAAATACTGTAGGGAGATGAAACACAATGAATTGTTAAAAGGTTGTTTTCTATACTAGAGATTGCTTTATTTCTTCTGTTGCATTTATGTTGGAAATTACAGCTTGCAGGTATTTAATTTGAGATTTTGCATTTCCACCAAAGGTGATGATATCAGCTTTTATGTCAGTTTTGCAATGCCGTGACAAGGAACGACATTGTTCTTGTTTAGTAGTATGGTGAGAGAATAATGATATGTTTTCCCCCTGACTTATGTTTTTCGGATAAGAAACATTGAGAAATATTTTGTAGTTCGATACAAAATACATAACGTGCTACATAATATGTCCAATCATTTTTTTTCTTCCCATTGATGTGATATTGTTGCTGAAGTTACTAATTCAGTTTAAAGATACCCAAATGTACATTTCTTTTTCTGTATAAATTAAATATTTAGTATCTCTGAACCAAGATCTTTACATTTTCTGTGTAGTTCTATGCCTCCAGAATGTTGAAACGATTTGCAGTTATTCTTTCAGAATGTGATCTTAACCTGTTCCAGCGAACTACAGTACAAGCAGCTCAATGCTTTACACCTTAGTGAAACAGTGATGTTGCTTTTGTCTGTGCCTTGCTGGTTCTTTAATCATTCCAGTGATAACCAAACTTAATTAATAGAGAAAACATTGTTCAATTAAGATAACTTATTACTTGTGATATGTTTATTCTTATCTTTTGTTGAAGAAATCATTAATAAGTTAGTCAGCAATTAAATCCTGTGTTCAGTTAAATTATCTAGCCAAATTAACCCCATAAAATACATTTTCCCAACTGCTTTTTTATCCTTTGATCAATAGTACTGATCCTTAAAGCTGACCCTTGAGGGATATACTGTTTTTCTTCTGAAAGGAGAAACCATGCTTTTTATTTGGTCAAAAAAGTTTATTTCTTTTTCTACAGGGCATATGGAGCTGCATTCACGGCGTACACATTGAAGAAAAAAAGAAATCCTCTGATTTGGACTTCAGCAGTCCTCAGGCCAATATGTTAAAGTTAATCAAGTCTGCCAAAAATATGACCACCATGTCAAACCTCAATGCTTCACGGATTAACTCCCCTAAACGTGCTACTGATTACATGCATGGTGGGCCCATGATGATGGACATGGTGGTTGACAAAGGCAATTTCCTCTATGCTGACAACCGGAGCTACCCCCCGAAGGAGGCTCTTTACGGTGAAACTGGGAGTGACCTGCAGACCTTCATGGGGAACCGGCACAAAGACAATCTGAACAACTACGTTTTCCAAGGCCAGCACCCTCTGACCCTGAATGAGTCGAACCCCAACACAGTGGAAGTCGCAGTCAGTGCCGATGCCACCCCGGGCACTACCAAGCCCCGGCAGCTGTGGAAGAAGTCTGTGGAGACTCTGCGGCAAAGCCAGGGCTCGGTTCAGGATACCCTTCCCCCCGACCCCCGGATGTCTATGAAGAGCCAGAGATACCTGCCAGAGGAGGCAGCCCAATCCGACATCTCCGACTGCTCGAGCCGGGCACAGTCCTACAAGGATCCCGACAACAACCAGAAGCACCACAAGCCCAAGGATAATTTAAAAAAAAGATCCATGACATCGAAATACCCTCGGGACTGTAGCGAAGTGGAGCTGTCCTACTTAAAAAGCAAGCAAGGGGGGTCGAAGATATATACTATAGATACTGAGAGGGAGCTGGGTTTGCACACGGACCAGCACCATTTCAGGGAAAATAGGGCGCTGCCTGAAGATCTGGAATATTCCGAAATGTACCAGGACCACAATGACAATTACAGGAAGCCTGAACCAGTCATCCATCTCAACAGCAGCCCGCTTCATGCTGATGACATCACTCCCAACAATGAAAATAAATACAACCTGTATTCCAAGCATTACAGTTTGAAAGAAAAGAATGTGAGCCCTCATGAGACAAACGATAGGTACAAACAGACTCATTGTAGGAGCTGCTTGTCCAAGGTACCAAATTATTCAGGGCACTTCGCTGTCAGATCACCTTACAACCGCTGTGAGGCTTGTCTGCACATGGGAAACTTGTATGATATAAGTGAAGATCAAATGCTTCAGGAAGCCATCAGCCCTCTGAATCAGGATGAAATGTTCAGTCATTACTGGCCTCAGACTGATGGCCCACATGTACAGAAGAGGAATAGACTCAGGCTCAGCAGACAGCATTCTTTTGACAATATCCTTGAGAAGCCCAAGGACATCGACCTTGGCCGACCGGCACGGAGTGTGAGCTTGAAGGAGAAGGACAGGTTTCTAGAGGACAGTCCTTATGCAAATATGTTCAGCATGAAGCCTGACAAACTGTTCAGCAGCAAGTCGATGCTCTTTAACCACAACCTGGAGGAGAGCAAACGCAGCAAGTCACTGTACCCTGACCACACCTCAGAGAACCCCTTCCTCCACTCCCTCCGGGAGGACCAACGTCTGGTCCACGGAAGGAGCTCCTCGGACATTTATAAACAGCTGGTGCCAGTAAAATCAAGGAACGACAACAACCTGAGGTCTTCTGTGAAGTCGACAGCCTCCTACTGTTCCAGGGATGGTCGGGTCCCAAATGACATGTACATTTCAGAGCATGCGATGCCTTATGTAGCAAACAAGACTAGTGCATACTCAGCTCCCCGGGTTCTCAATTCCTGTAGCAATAGACGCGTGTACAAGAAAATGCCTAGTATTGAGTCAGACGTTTAACTTTTCATTCACCCTGTTCCGTATTATTCCACATTAAGATGCCATAGTCATCCACATGTAAATTAAAAGCACCCAAGACTCTCTAGACAGAAAAGTAAAGAAAGACAAGAAATGGACCGGATAATCGCCCCATTTTCTGCCCATGATGCTCTCTGCACTTCCAGGTTCTTTTCATTTATCAATATGTTAATGCCATACGGGGCTTGCCAAAGGTTTTCAATCTTTTAATTTATATGTGGTGATGTTTTTGGACACGTGGTATTTGGGAAAAAGACAGAGGTCTTTTATTAGCAAAATGATGTGTGGACTTTCTAGAAGTGGGTGTTGTTCAAGTCCTGAAGGTCGAAGGTGCCAGTTGGCCCTCCAGTTGGCATAAAGTACCAATTCAACGTCTTCCTAATGACTTACTGGCGATGCAGATGGACCACTTGAAGTTTCTTCCAAACTTTAACTTAATGGTGGCTTTAAGCCACTGTACTGTAAGAGTGGAAGATTTCATTCTCCGATGAAGGGAAAAAGTGATTTTGGAGTATACAGTTCAGGTATACAGTTATGAACAAAATGCAACTGGTGGTACTTGATGAATGGTACAACACAATGAACAAACACATCTTTATCATATTCCTGTAGATATGGGAAGGTGGCTTTTTAATCCCTGTTTAAAATGGTTTAGAATTAAGCAGACTTTACTAGCATACCTAAACCAATAGCAAACATCACGTCTTAATTTTCTCAAGTATTATTTTAACAGTCAAGAGCATCTTTTTTGCATGAATTATTTCGGTATCAGGGAAAGAAAAATACTTTTAAAAGAAATGTTTTTTTTCTGAGTGAGGATGGATATTTGTGCAATTGCAAATGGTGTTTAATAAAGCAGCCTGATGTATTGATATTTTTCAAATAAATTTCTGTAATCTAAGCACTGAAGGCGAACATTTGCAGGATATCATTAAATATGTGATGCTTTCAATCCAGTTTCTATATCTAAAACAGGGTAATAAAGAAGCTGATGCTCTAAAACATTATCACAATTTTATTACTAAAATGCACTTCAAAAATGTTTTTTTTCACTGAGCATATTTAGGAACTGTACACTGTGATAAAGGCTGCATTTTAATTTTGAATTCATTCTGCATTTCTTTAATGGAATGGCTGCCATTAAGATTCTGCTTTCTAAATTTTCTTTTCTTTTTACCTGAAGGAGGGATGAAGGCCGGTGACACACATTTTGAATGAAACAGCATGCACACAAAGATGAATTTTCTAGACGCCCTAGGTATAATCAAAGAGACATATCAGTGTCAGTTCTGGCATGGTCAATTTTAAGTATGCAAAATGTTCTAGAAAAACACACACACAAAACTGCTCCCCTAAAACAAAAAAGCAAATAACCAGCGCAAATATCCTGCAAATTATTGTAAATCTGTCACATGTGTGGAACGATAGTTTCTTCACTTTCAAGTATTGTAATAAAACTTTCAACTGAATTGTATGTGGAAACAGAAAAGATTAAAATTTATCAGCAAAATATGTTTTGTGGTGTAATAGGAAGATTGTCCTACCAAACTGCACTTGTATACTTTGCAAACTAATTAAATTTTACATTTTATTATGCAACAATTGCTTGGTACAGCAAAGTTTTACACGAAATAGAACTGAAGATGTGGTGATGAATCTTGAATGATCATATCGCTCAGGTGACTTGGAATCTGGACATCTGGATATCTCGGAAATGAGGTACGGCACAGCAGTTGTGTGCTGTACTGGTCTTGGAGAGCTGCAATTTCTGAACAATTAACTTAGCACTTTGTTGTAAATTTTATCTAAAATATTTTAACAACAGTCTGAATTCCATTAAGTCTTCAAGGATTTCCCTAAGATAAACAAACTGCTTTCCTAATGTATCAATAATTACTAGGGTTCTAGAAAATGGTGATTTAGGTTATTCAGTAAGACTGACTGGACTGGAACTCTTCAGAGTCAGGATTGGAGGCTGTGTTCCTCAGTGTGTACAGTACATGTTAATAAAACTAATTCAGTTTCATCGTTCAACAGGTCATATTTCTCAGGAGAAGGATTTGTTTCAATCAGGCTTGCTCAATTTAATGTCACACACAACTGTAACTCTAGTATGAGTGTACTGAACCAGTGCACCACAAGATTACAGTATGTACAGCGTACTCTACATTTTAATTCTGCTTTTGTTTACTCCCTGAAGTCTTCCAAACACTTGTCTTCCTGTGAATTGTTCTGGAACATTACCAAGGGAATATTGTAAGACAACTCTTGAAATACAGGAAGCATTTAATTTAAATGTATGTCATTGTGTTCGGTCTACAATCATTTTATTCACAGCCCATCATTAAGAGTTAAATACTCTGAACAACAGCACAAGAACACAACATATTCTGTTCTGTATGGTATACAGTATAAGATTAATCTTTAATTAGTGTCTTATTTACCGTGGAGTCATTTATTTTAATTTTCAGTAATCCAGAATATTTGTCTTTACAAGCAGATTTTCTGTATTTTTCTTAGGATGCTTATATTACATTTGATCTTTGTTACAGCATCAGAAAAATAAAATAGGAATAAATCAAATAAAAAGTACATAAATGACCTTTTATGTCCAGATTTCCACTATGTTATACATTCTGTAAAGTTTTGATATTTTTAGAAAATGTCACTTTTTTCCAAACAGGACATCCTTTACTCTGGTTTTGAATTTCTTTCAGCTTACCCATTGTTAAGAGATAAGTTCAGTGTAATGATTGTTCCACCAGAATGGTTACAAACTGTACTTCCATGGCTCGAATTATGTATGATTATGTATGAATGCTGCTTTTAAAAAGTTGATATTAGAGCAATACACACCTGTAAGAAATCAATTTCCTGTGTAGTCCATGATAGGTATGCATTAATTTCACAGTGTTAGTTATCCATTATTATAATAAATTAATTTGTTTGTTTTAAATGTTTCAATAACCCTAGTCTAACAAAAGTAGTTTATTTGCATATTAAATAATACTGGCATGCTTAAATCCTACCTGTAATTTGTTTAATAGGTTTTTAGACTTTTCTGAGCACTGATGGTTTATACAGTGTTACCATGATGTAACATGGTGTGTGTATATGTAATGTATACAGTGTATATTGAAAGAAATTCACATGACTTTAGTTTTAAACACTATAATACTATTGGTTGCATATACTGCAGAGAATTTGCATTGCATCCAGTCTGTTTTCCAGTATTGGCCAAAGATGGATACTTTCCTCTATGATAATGGTCCATACTGTAGGCTATATATGTCCTAGCTCTTCCTTGTTTGACTGGCTGTATCATCAGTATTGCTACCAATATGTTTTATTGTTGTTGTTTTTTTTTCTCCTACACGGAGGTCAAATATTTGCAGATTCTTCAGATTCTTATTTGCCTATAACAGTAGCCCTGCAATCCCTCCAAAGATATGACCTCATTTGTTTAGTTTTCCATTCATTGATTGCTGTAATATTATTTTTTTAATGTAATAAAAGGCTTAAAAGAAATATTTTGAATTTAGGCACTTGTAAATCACTTGTAAATGAGCATAAAAGGACTTTGTTGTCTTGAAAATAACTATTATATAGAGTACAAATGTTTATTTTTATGTGTGAATATCATGGAAATCTTTATAGTAAGCACCTAATTTCTCTAGAACAGCGTGTACAATATCTACATTTAAGTGACACCAAAAGGGAGGACTTTGATTTTCCACTTATCTGACAGACATGGATCACAGCTTTGGGCTTTAATAAGCTTGGGTTTGGAGAGGGTGTAGGGAGACATGCTTTTAAATATCCTCAACCTAATTCCAGACGGGCTTGCATCAGGCATGTCTGCAGCGCTGTAGTGCTGAAGAGAGGCTGTTTTGCACCAGTCAGCTATATACAATATGAGCAAACATCCAAGGTACCATTTTAACAGTTTGTATTTACATTCTCTCTGTTCATCATGTCTGGGTCTTTTACTGATCGGAATGTATAGGAACACTGTGGAGAGTGAGGACAGAAAGACAGTAACTTTGCTTAGGCTTAGAATTAGCCAGAACACTATATAACAGTGGCAGTTCTTGATTTGATTGATACAGACAGAATTACAGCAGAACTCTGTCTTTGTCAGTGCAGTGTACATCACTAATTACTGTAAGAAACAAAGGAACAAATGTGTTTTATTATTTTGCCATATTTTTAAAATAAATGATGCCTTTCTGATACGATCTACAACTGAGTATAAATAGCTTTTGTAATATAGTGCCAATTGTGAAATTTAGTATGTGCAAATGAGAACGTTATTTAAGAAAATAATTAGAGTATTAAGAACAGTTATTAGTCAGTTAACAGAAAAAATAGGCTTTTCATACATGGAACAATTAGTACTTTCTCATCTGTAACTGAATGACTGCTAGGGCCCTGTCTCTTGTACATTACTGTATGTCTAAATGGATGTGATTTGTAACCTAAAGCACGGAATTTGCATGCAGGAAAACATTTGCTGGTCACACCTCAGGAGCCCTCAGTCAGGAACTCACAGTGAAGGCAAAAGCCATGAGCTGAGATAAGGAGTTAGTCCCGCTCCAAAGCATAAGTGTGCAGTCAAATGATTGAAAGATCAAGATGGGTTTTATCCATTTACTGCTTAATTAATCAGAGACCAGATCAGACAAAACCAAAGCAGTAATGCTGTGTACAGTGTATATTCAAACAGATTCAAGGGACTTTAATTTTAGCACTATTGATTGCAGAGAATTGGCATTGCATCCAGTCTGTTTTAAAGTAAAAAAAACAAAGTATCAAAAACAGATACTTCCCTTTCTATAAATGTACTGCAGTGTATCTGGCTGAATTATCACAGTATTGCTACCAATTTGGTTTTATCACAACCTAAACCTCACCGATATTGCTACCATTTGATCACAGCCTATACCTGCCTTATTTTCTAATATGTATTGAGTAAATGTGCAACAGATGCATAAGATGATTGAATCAACATGTAATTCCAATATAATTCTATAATTACTCTGGAAGACGTTAGGGCATTAGTCTGTGGAGTATTAAACATACAGATTCTCTATAGCGCAACAATAACAAAATCCAAACAGAAGAAGAATCAAATCCAGGGAAGACCTGGTTGTAGAACTTTCAGGAAAATAGTGAATGTAATTGTTAAAGGTTTCGCGTCACAAGGGATTATTAAATACTGTACGTGTTTGATTGACATGTCCTGCATTGGATGTTTCTCTCACATTTAGATCCCAGTGCGCAGTGAAGCTTGCACCTGCAGACAGTGGCAGGGTTTGCATCTGAATATTCCATATTTTTCCAAAACTGGCCATGCGCTATTTTACAGTATTTCCCCCACATTCCCTTAGAAAGGGAATGAAGCATGAAAGGGATGTACCCTTTCCCTAAATCGCTCCTCAGGGCTTTTCCCAAGTATTTATTCCAGAATAAAGTCCATACCAAAGACTGGAGGCTCATTATTGCGCATTATCCTGGAGCTTATCCTTGTATCTACAGTATTAGATGGAGTGGAGTTGCATTGCTATTCACCATTGTTACTGTACAAGATGGCGAATTGCTTTAATCGGGGTGAAATACCACTCTCCAGGGTCCAGGCCATAGGATGGACTTGAACCCGCAACACTTCAACTAGGAATCTAAAGCCCTATCTACTATTCTGTGCTGCCCTGCAGTATTTACTGGAGGATTTTAAATACACATATCTTTCAAGCACAAGTGCCACGCCTTGCCCTTGATGATAGCTGTTGGTGATTTTTTGCCATTGACTGCTTATTTCTATCCGATGGAGTGGAACTGAGCTAAGCACTAAGTCTCTCTAATTAAGCACTAGGTTTCTGCCTAATACAGGCAGGGCAGTGAAAGGCCTTCTGTCCACTCACCAACCTTGAAAACGAAACAGTGATGTGTTTATGCATGCATCCCTAGTTCAAATACCGCATAGCTTAACATTTTAAGTTCCTATAGTTAAAATGAGTTTTTATACTTTATGCTTTGATTTAGCAACAAGTCATCTTAACATTTGATTGAGTAGGATGTTGGCCCATGCAGTGATGAATGATTCATGACTGGTTCTCATTTGTATCGCACTTGCCTTTTAAAAATGTCCTTTTCTGAAGAGGTTCCCGTTATTTGGCAAGTAATGTGGAGCGCAGAACGAGACGCTGGTATGAACTGGACCTCATGAAAAAGTGGTGAATAATTAAGCACGAGGTGCTTTTTTAACATTAAAAATGGTTGCATGTACAGTATGTTCACAGAGCTGCTGGGCTATTTGTACTTCTAAAAAGCAGAGCTAACACTTTGATTTTGTGTAAAAATGAGACTTTATAGGATTCACACAAGAGGAAGCAATTGTTTGAAAAAAAATAACTTGTGGTTACTACTAATTAATCTTTTTTCTCTTTTTGCATTGCATTCATACTTTACGTAGCTGTTTAAAGTAGAAATTATTTTAGAAGATGTTTTATACTTAAAAGGGCCATTGTGTGATCATAAGATAGTTATCACAGAGATCATGCGGCCTACAGCCTGAAAAGAAAAAAAGATATATCTTTGGTAAAAAAGCATTATCACTTGTGTGTGTATAACAATTACTTTTATTTATTGTAAGGTCTAACTTATCACTAAATTCAAAGTTGACACAAACTTGATTAATTTCTGCTTTTGGCTAATTGCATGAGAAAGTACTAATTTTAATGGGATGGTTTTAAACATATCTCCTATTCTGTCTAAATTACATTCTTCACACCCTTTGTAACATGAAACTAGAGTAGGTACCATGGTTGTCTTTAAGCTATATTGTGTTATTCTCATTTTCGTATATATAGAAGATGCTAAGAGAATGGGTTTTGGATGTTTCTTGTGAAATGTAAATACTCTGTCACTGAAGGAAATGTCAAAGTAACAAGATGTAAAAATGTAAATAAGTAAAAGTTTCATTTTTCTAATAAAGGCTCTTTCTGCCAATTTCTATGAATACTGTATCTATAGCTGAATACTTGCAGCATCTGAAATCCTAATCCAGTAGTTCTTACCAACTGATAAAGTTTAGTTGGAGAAAAAAAACACTGAGCTTGAAGCTAAAAATTATCAGTAGTACAAGTGACTATGTTTATACTATTAACCAATTAATGTACTCATAATTCCTGTTTTTAAGTTATAGTCATTGTCACTGAAGTCTAATTTAAACAAATAATTTAAAAAGTATCATTTCCATTTCAACCACAAGAAAATGTGTTGTTTCATATTGTTTTTCATTGAGAATATGGTGTCTGTGTGATTCGAAAAGATGAAAATACAGCTAATTTTCACTGTTGCCCTAAATATGTAACTTTACTTTTTTCACTAAATAGTATTATGAGTAAGACCTAGTCTGTAATTAATTAGATGCTGTGAATAATTGGATTGAAAAGGGTGAAAATACTCTTCACTTCGCTATTATAAAAATTAAGATCACATCCCGATAAAAAAGCTGCCACCATTTCTTAAGGATATCAATGAGCACTTATAGTACGTTACTGTAGGAACATGAGAATGAGTTTAACAGTGGCACATAGGTTGTGATTTTTACACACATTTTTAATTAGCCATATCTTCTTATAATATTTCCCTGTTTGTGATCATTCATTGTTGTCCATATGATTCCTGGGCAATTTTCACAAATCAGAACAAAAATAAAATGAGACCATTTGGCACATTTGAGTTGGTCTCATTTGCTGTTGAAAAATGTGTAGAAATGCTGTGTTCTATCATGTTTATTCTATTTATGTACAATTCCTCTAACAGGTACACTGTCTCCATTAACTGTGTGCACATATTGTAATAAAGTAAGTAATGCAGTTTTCATTTGTTTGATACGATTGAATAGCAACAAATAAACCATATCACTGATTTGAATTAGAAAATGCAGAGATGTATGGAACCTATGTGCAAAACACATAGTTATTTGCAATTTCTAAACCTCACTTTCCATCACCATGAACAAATGCTACAGAATTCACTACCTGGAAGTAAAAATACAGAACACCACCTCATTCCACAAAGGGTTTTGGGGAAGTCTGAAACAAGTGACCCAGCCATGTTGTTAAAGCCAGTGCCCTGTTTTCTTTCAAGAAATAGAGATCCTGTTTCTTTTTTTCATCAAGCAAGAAAAAGCAGTCAGAAAACTGATGGTAATTTATTGCTCCAAAAAATGTATTTAAAAAAAAGTACATTACACAAAAACTGATATGTGTCTCAAAATGAAAGATACTGGGAATTGCTGTTTACACAGCTGTCTGTCCTTCATGCTACTGAAGTAATTTCTCATCTTGCAGCTTATCGGGTGCAACAGTATTCCAAAAGCCGGAGCTTTTTGAAGAACTTGCAAGATGGACACTGTAGCATGCCATTTATTTGAAACATTTACCACAACCCTCAAAATTTTATCTGTGCAGTCTACTAACAGTTTGGCTTTTACTGACTTTGTAAACATTTCACGGTTCAATTTATAGTTTTCTTGCACACATTTCTGTTTCATGTCCTTAAAAGGCCTTACACTTTGGCTTTGGGTTAAAAAGGCCTTCTACTAAATGACTTTGGCATATTTATTTTTATGTAAAGTATCTGTGCTTTGCAAAGCCTCAATCGGTGGTATTTCTGCAGCTTTTAACATAAATTCAAATGACAGAGACATACAGTATACTCAACTCTCTGATGAATATGCATGAACATCTGATGAAATTAATAGGTAATTAAGATAAAAAATGATTAAGGTAGCAGGACATGATTCTATGGGGACAAGGAGAGAAAGGGCCTCTTCTATGTGAGCATGATTTTCAGCACAATCCTGGTAAGAATTTAAAATTGTCCAAGTGGATTTTGTCTTTTGGGTTTAGATGTTCGTAATGACTGTATTTAAGGAGTTTCCAGCTTGCAATGTATATTTTAATAACCGAGCATTAATTTGGAAACAACAGACAGCATGAAGCAAAAAGCCCTTCTTTGAAATATTTACGTTTTACCCAATGTGGTGAAAGTTAAATTCTTGTTTTTAAATTGTTGGTCCGGGTACACTACTTTTCCTCTTTCTGAATGCGAGCAGAGAAACACAGGAAACAAAATCTTTTTTAAAGAGACTTAAAAAATAAGTAACTTGGATATAGCAGATAAGTGTCTTTTTATAGATTACCTGCTTGAAGAATGGCTTAGCTAAATATATAGTTATTTAGCTCAGAGAAGTTAAAGGAATCCCTCTGCTCAGCATTTCTCACGTTTAATATGGACTATCTACCACTTGAATTACTTAAAAGGGTGCCATAAATCATTGCATGCCCAACATCATCTAAGCAGTACTGAAGTCGTAATTAATTACTTTTACAAACTGGCACAGGAATGCTTGCTCCAGATGGATTATTTTGTATAATGGATGTGTAGAGATAAAGGAAAAAAAGTATCTCGGCCTCTGAAGTATTTCCCTGTTTCCTAATACAACCCTTAATATTTTCTTATTATATACAGATTCATTCAGAAGAATGGGGGTGAAGAGGAAACTAGTAATATTGCAGGGTTCCAATGAAATCAAACATGACCTCTGTTGTAGGTCTCCTTTCCGGTCGATAACAGGACTACAGGCTAGAGCTTGATTGGCACCACTTTATATGGATTTTAATGAAGGCAGTTAAATCACATTTCACAGCCATAACTTTATTGGCATTCAAGGACAAATTAAAGATAAACCATTAACCGGGTTCTCTTTCTTGGTATGGTTTCTATTGTAACTTACAGGAACTGCATATATGGAAACTGCACACTTAACAGTGACGTGTGTCCGTTTGCTGTGATGGGTCCAGCAGTGACAGGCGTAGAGAGATGGCTATTAAAGTTTCAGAATGTCTTTTATTATCTCACCGGCTCTTGAGAACGGATTGAAAAGCATATCTTTGGTGTTTATTGAAACCTTTGTCCTGTTATTCCATTCATAAATTGTATATGAACTGTTGATTATTTGTAGAGGGCAACAGAATGAGCCGCTTTACAAAAACGTCTAGTTGAGAATAAATCCGTGAGGGTCACAGACCCAGCAGTTACTCCCAATGCCAACTACAGGCGGTGGGTTTATGGTTCATTAACATGAACTTCATTTATTTCTAAGTTAATCAATCTACTAGTGAGCTTGTCTAGAAGCTCAATCTGTGTTTCGATCAATCATATTATGTGCCATTTGCCCTGGAATTATTTAATTAATGTCTGGCAAATTCTTGTCCTTTCTTTTTATCGTATCGTGGAGCTCTGCCACAGGCTTTGAATCCTGTGGTCCCTTCGAGCTGAGGTCTAGAGGACATTGTATCCTGATGACACAAGAGATGTCTGGAGTGCAAGACTTGTTGTCAATCGATGTCAGTTACTGTAGAATTCCTGACACACAACTAGTTGAAGTAGTCATCCATCCTCTTCCTTGCAGAGTAGCAACCCATCCCAATGACCTTGAATCTCTTGGCGATGGTCGATTTTGTAATTAATTGGACAATGTTTTTTTTTTCCATCCATTACTGATGATCTTTCAATTCTTGTGTATTAGTTTCTGCAACAAATACTGAAAGTACAATGCCTTTATTTTATGCTAAATCCAACTTTCAGCCACATTGTATCAGATGTACAGTACCATATGAATGAATTTGGAGTTTACTGTAGATATACAGTAGTAGGCTGAATGCTGTTCCCTCATTTGTGATTTATATTATGTTCTTTTGTTTTTTAGCTCATCTTTGTATGAAGATGTCTATATTGTGCCATGGTCACCAAAAGATAAAACATACACAGTGAATAATATTTACTTTTTGTCGAAAAGCTAATAAGAGCCATAATGATTTTGATTGTTCCCTAACTGATCTGAAGGCATGTTTTTATACAGTATATGGATCTTTAAACTGAAGAGATCATGCCAAGCAGTACTGGGGACGATTGTGTTCAATAAATGATCCGTCGCACTGCAGATAACTAGAGAATTTACACTATAATTCTGCTGAGTTTTCATGACTGTTGATTCGATTAGCTCATGCATGTCAATAACCAGTAAGTAGGAGGCCCCATTGAACAATTTTGTGAGAAGTCGTGTTTTACCTGCTGTCACGCAATAATGATTACAATAGCGGACACATATCTGGATCACACTTCTGAAAACCCCCAGCTGGCTGAACTGGACAAATGAAGCAGATTTATTTGAGAATCTAGGCTATATGCTTCAATCTATGCGTTCAACCTCCTGTCCAGTACTGGTAATCAAGCCCCTCTCTATGCTCACTTGTCAAAACCATAACCTTCTTCTGAGGCCAAACAGGTACATTCATGACACATCCAACAGACAGCTCACGCAAGCACAATGGAAAATAAAGAGCTTGATTCTTTTTCATTAAAGCACTCACAGTTTTAATTCAAATATAATTTTCTGTAGACTTGCCTATCCAGGCATTCCTTCCATATCTGCTTGTAGTTCTGACAATTTCATTCATGCAGTTGCCTCCTGGATGAGAACAGTGACAAAGCAGATTGCGTTTTCCATGTATCTTCAAGGCTTCTCACAGCAGGAATTCCCTGGATTTTTAAATAACCTGCAGGTCTTATACATTATGTTCTGCTCAGATCTTTGTAGCATGATTGTTTTTTTCATCTACGGGGTTGTGTTTTAATCTTTTTTATTTCAAAGGGGAATGCTATGATTTGGAAAATAATACAATTCCATGATCACTTTTTTCTGACACAGTTTTATCTGGTTGTATTAGTAACATTGTAGAGAACCCACTGCCCAAACCATAATGTCATGGGTAACAGAACCATAATTTACTCTGTCATCACACACTGGCTGTGTTTCTTTTATCTGCTATTCATCCTCAATGCAGCAACTAGAAGGGATCCAGTGAAATGTCATATGACAAATGAAATGATGTAAAATGAACATGTGGGTCACTCTGAGTAACTTAAAATTAGTGTTCAATGATGCACTGTGGGACATTTTCCCATCAGAAAAAGAACATTTTTTTTCCATCTTCACTAGTCTGTGGGTCTTATTTGCACTGAGTTATTGGCAGCCTAATTGAGTCAGTATGACACTCACACTTTAAAGTCTAGTTATTGCTCTTGAGTTTTATCTCCCTCCTGCAGGGTAATGACACGTGGGACACCTCTATTTTAACACAGTCTCATTTTAAGGAATATAAACAGGGACTGTCTGCAGTGTACTGTACTACTGTTTAAGCAGCCAGAGTTGTAGAATTCACTATAACTACTAATATAGAACTTCCTTTTGAGTACTGTAGGTCGAAAGTATTGAGAATTTAGAAATGGCCTGTGTCCAGCTTCGCTGTGTATTACAGTTGCAGCTTAGAAGTTGCCACTGTCTGTAACCAGCTGTAAATGGTAAAGCCCCCTGAGTAATTTAATGTGCCTATGAGGTGTAAGAATTGTCACTAAGCTGCAATACAAATTGCTCTGAAAACAAGTGCTTTAATCCCGTAAGTAAACAGAAAGCTCAGACACAATTCTAAATCTCACTGAATGACTGGGTGCACTGTAGATGTATTTTTCCCAGTGTTTGTATGTTCAGTACATACAGTACTTATGGCATCAAAGCAAAAAGCTGCTGACATGACTCAGCGGTGTTCTGGCTAAGACTGGGATTCTTTATTGAGTTATGTCTTGCTGAATTGCTTAGCGAGCA